CCCCAAAACCCCAAAACCCCAAAACCCCATTTTCAAGCAAAAATATTGTTAATAAATTTATTTTTAAGATGCCTTCTGTTGAAACCTGAATCATGCTCAGGACTCTCCTTGTAGCAATTGCTGAAGGAGAGATGAACATCGAAAAGCAAAGGAAGAAGCTGGGAAAACTAGTAAAATATGAACCATACTCTGCCTTCCAGCGTATCGATCGGAGAAGGACTGGCTTTGTAGATAGTATGGACATCCTCACTTTTCTCAGAGATAATGACTTCCAAGAGGAGACTGAAGCTGACACTTACTACCTCATGAAGTTTTTCGATGTCGATGAAGATGAGAAACTGAATTATACAGAGTTCTTAACACTTGTTCTGCCTTGAGATAATGCCAAGCTCAGGAATGAGATTATTATGAGGCCAAATTATTATGTTGGGCTTCTTGACTTCCTTCCAAAGGCTATCGAGTATGAACTATGTAAATTATTTGTCAAGGAAATTGCATTTCATGCAAAAATTGAAAAGCTCAAACAGGAACTGGTTTCCAAGGCTGATTTTGACCCAAGATCAGGGTTTAAGGCTATTGATGACTGGAATTATAATTACATTGATTTTGCAAATTTGAAGAGATTCTTGAAATCTACTGGGTACATTGCCACCAATAAGGAGCTTGCGGCAGTCATCAGAAGACTCGATCTTAATGCAGATTCTAGGCTTTCCCTTGAAGAATTTGTAGAAGGTACCAAGCCTATTGAGCCTTATTCAAAGGTTACGACTAGGAGCTTAGTGAAAACAAAGTCTAGGCCAAAGACAGCTAAATTGAGATCCTCAACTAGATCAAAGTCTATAACCAAAAAGAAAAAGGGAACGAAAAAATTCAAAAGAGGTGGACATACTTTGAAAGGTTCTTCTGTAACTGGCCATCAGAGCACTGAGCATCTTGATTATTCTCCAAAGAAACTGAGTTCATTTAAGAATGAGTTATCGGAGAGTAAAGAACCTGAATACGTAAACCAAAAGAAGCGAATTGATCTATACCAAAGTCCTGAAGGGAATAGATCTCATTATGGAATTAACCCCTATCAGAAACCTGTATCTTATAATGAGAGCACTGAGAATAGAGCAGAGTATATTTCTCCCCAGAGAGCTTACACATCCCATAGCCCACCAAGAACAAGAGAATATAGCGCTTACAGTCCAAGGAATCCAGCTGAAAATATTCCAGAGTATGGGCATACTCTGGCTCATACTGATGAAAAGGAGCTAGTGAGCACTCTTAAAGATCTTCTTGAGATGGAGGAAGATCTTGAGAATTACAAAATAGACCTTAGCCTCAAACCTGACTTCAATTTAGTAGACCTCTTCAGGATGTTTGACACCATCAACAAAGGCTATATCACATTAGATGAGTTCAGATCAGGCTTGTATCTATTTCACATATATGCTAGCCAAGAAGAGGCTCTCTTGTTATTTACCAGATATGAGACAGTAAATAAGGGAACTTTAAACTATTCAGATTTCTGTGATATTTTCTCACCGAAAGACGAAGAATACAGCTCAAGCCTGAGGGTCAGACCTTCGTACTATATCCACAAGCCATATTACAAAATTACAGAGTATTTTCACCCAGAGACGAGGCTAGCAGTAGAAAATTTATTAAATACGAACTTGAGGGTAGAGGCATGTGCTGATACGATGAGAGACCATCTTTCTTTGCTCCCATCCTTCAATGCCATGGAGGCATTCAATACAATTGATATGAAGAATCTAGGATACTTGGACGCTAAGCAATTTAAACTACTCCTAGAGGCTCATGGCGTCTACAACAAAAATTGTGAATACCTCGTGGACAGATTTGATAAGACTAAAGACGGCAAAGTCACGTATGTAGAGTTTGCAGATGGGCTAAGAAAATATTAAAAATAACGTATATTTTATCAAATATTGTTTCAATCTTGCCAGTTAGAAAAGGGGTTTTGGGGTTTTGGGGTTTTGGGGTTTTGGGGTTTTGGGGTTTTGGGG